GAAATAATTTTCGAAATGATTTTTCTCAATCGAGTTTTTGATTTCTGAAGTATTTCGATAAATAACACTCGAAATGTCAAAAAATTTCGCAACCAAAACTAGAAATGAACAGCAATAAGTGATATAACTCTGACCAAAGTTACGAATTTCGTTGAGGGATTGATATTGAATAGAGTTTCGGATTATAATCCTCACATGAACATCTTATTTCATATGTCATTTCGTTGCAAACCAAATTGCAGTTAATTTCGACCACACTATACATAAGGTCTATTAGCGCTTGGATTGCCCTCATTCCAGACCGAATCGCTGCTCGAATTCAGTTTATCTCTCTTATTTCAATCTTGCATCCTCCTTGTGAGCGCCAGAGATACATTCAGTATTGGACTGAAGCAGCCAGTTCTTTTGATCTGTTTCAGAGCAATCCAGATCTACACAATTTCCCATTTCCTCATTTAATTTCCCCGCAAGAATCAACCTCGTGAGGGTTTTATTCATGAAGAACGGCTCTATTTGTTCATTTAAATGTAGAAATGAGCTATTTTGACTAATTCCATACCGATAGTTTTTTGAATGCTTGCTTTTGTGCTTGTTCAAGAGCTGGCATCATTGACATATCCTCGTGAATGATTTTCAGTCTTTACAGAGGTGTTACAGTCACTTTTTTCCGTTCATTAGAAGTGTGTTCTGCATCAATTCTCCTAAAATCCTCATCTCCTCATTGTAGAAAGTTCAGTACGAATTTTCAGTTTCTTGTACGTACTTTCAGTTGGCATTTGGGGCCGGGAACAAAACAGATTCAAGAAATTGTTTGTTTGCATTTAATCCCTAACGATCTTGAACGCTATGAAGTCGTTGGATGATAAATTTCTATCAGAGAAAATGCATAATTTCATAAAAGCCGAGACTGTGTTCGTCCCGCAATCGAGGGCTTCATTATAGCATCTCCTTAACCGTGACAAGCGAGAGTTTACCATTCACTGTCCAATGGTTTTTGCTTCGCCCAGGAATTCTTGGTCGAGACCATGTGTACATGCCTAAAACCTGAGATCATGTTGTGCTTGAAGAACCCAAACTGAAAGTACGTTGCTCATTAGGCGTGAATGTACTGAACTGTTGCATGTTTGTGTTGGTTCCACAGGTAATTAACATGCCTGAAGTCTCTCTCTCTTGATACTTGAAGTCTTTCCCTTTCAAAAAACAGCGAATATGAATGCTTGCTGATCAGAGCTGAGAACAATGGTTAAAATCTATACTAATTATACCAGTGGTTCTCATAGAGCGAAATTACCCATTTCGGGTAATTTTGAGTTGTGAAGAGGTAATTGACTGGGTCGGGGAATTATTATTTCGTACAGTTGTTATTTTATGGTGGAACGCCGTTGTGATGTTGTTTAATAACTCGGATATGTAAATGTGGTTAGTTGATGGCAGTATTCTCCTGATTTCTGAGTATGATTAGCTTGTAAGGGCCTGAAAGGGTTTTCATTAGTTTCAACAGTGTTCTCGTTCTTTTCCTTGCTGTTATAATCGCTCTCATAGCTTTTATCACCAAAACTGTTCTCTTTTACTAATTTCTCATTCATTTCACCCAACAATCAAAGTCAAATTCTCATTCTATCAAATACACTCTATAATTGATCATTTGATTGTCGAACGTTGTTGAGCAATAATATTCGATTGCTGCATTGTTGATTTCGGCTGCCAACACTCGTCAACGTATCGAGTAAACAGTATATGCCATAGAATGAGAAGTTGATTCTAACTGTGAAGTGAAATGAGTCAAAGTGAATGAGAAAAAGTCATCAAGAGAACGGTATTCGCATGTAATAGCTATGAGAGTGAATACAACACGTCTGCAAAGAATGAGAATTCATGTGAATCATTTGCAATGAGCGTGACACAGACAATAGCTTTTCATGCAATCATAATCGATCTCATGATCGTCAAAAGGGTAATGGAACACCCAAACGTGAGAATCACCGTGAGAATGATTTATACAAAACAATTGCTCTGCTGACGATCAAGTGCTTAGAAATGGCAACAATTATCTGTTTCCACATATAGTCGTGGTTCCAGTAAAACTCAGCAAAAATGAATGATTAGCTCCAAAATTGAGGATTTCCCATCAGGAACACATATGCTTTTTTCTCGGCTAGCGTCATATCCTATCCGATAAACGGCAAAAATTATAACTTTCCGGTAAAAACTGAGCGTCTTAGTGGCCTGAAAATGACATCCCGAAGAATTTAGGTTTTAAAATTTGTTTGAAAGCATTCTGAGGCTGGGATAAGTGTTAGCGTTAGATTAGTTATGTTTCAAGCGCAGTAGTTGATCAGTATCATCATAGTTCAATGGATAATGCAGATTCAGATGGATTCAGTGCGCGATTTGACATACCAATGCTTGGAACGATGGACAGAAAGACTGGATAAGGATGAGTATCGCCTGTTTTGGTACAATTTTACTTCTATTCAGCTTTGTGTGATGAATATTTGCATCGAATGATAAGATGAACATGCCGCATTGTGACTACAGAGAATTATCGTTATTTCCATTATCCTCATTATTTTTTAAACATAAATAAGTTTTCCTATTATAAATGGAGTATCGCTGTCATCAGTTTGCTCAAGTAACTATTACAGGGAAGGTAATTATTACGACAGTGATGTTCATGATTATGCCGAACTGACCAATGAAACATTGAAAGTACTCGTGAGCAAATGCATCAACGTACTGATTAAACTCGATGTTAAAAAGCACACGAAAGTCGCCGTATACCTGCCGGCTTTGATTCAGTTACCTGTCATCACATTGGCTGCGCATCGAATTGGGGCTAAATTACTTATAACTGTTTGTTATTCTCAGTATCAGTGCAATCAACAGTCGTGACATCCTCATCGTTTTCATTATTATTATTATTATTATTATTATTATTGTTTATAAGTTTCAAATCTGAATGCTGTATGTCAAATTCGTCAGAGAATAATATCTTACATGGTTGCAAATTTAGAAATGCTGAAAAATGGCTTCAAAACAATATTTTGATGCATGTTTATTCATAGACTTCATAAAAAGCATGAGTTCCTCTAATAATAACATTGGAAACTTCATTAAACTTCACCATAAATCAGAGTGCAATCGATGAAGATGCTGAACAACTCGGCGCTGTACTCAAGGAGTTTGATCCGGAGATAATCATCACTGTCGATGGATTTTGGTGTGGCAGTAAACTGAAGCAGTCGAAATGCATTATCGACAAAGCACTCTCATTTTATCAAAGTGTTAGAAACCTTTGTTGATCTTTTCGAGATTCTAGGTACTTTTAATCAGAAAGATTTCTGTAATGACATCCATTAAGTATTTACTATTTGCCCAGTTCTAGCCACGTTTGAATTACTCATTTTGAGGTAAAGACATAATTAGATGAGGATCAATAGAATGAAATTCATACCAATTATACTCTATTTTTAATTGGTTCCGATTAAGAATTGATCTAATTGCTGATCTCAGTAACATGGGATTGAAGTGAACTAATCAAGGAAATATCTGCTATTTTTGAAGGGATGAGTTAACAATCTAAACTAACCTCTTAAAAACGAAATAATTTGAAATTTCACAAGCAGCTTACGTGATTCTATGAATAAACCGTATCTGATGATGGATGAAGATATATTCAAACGAATACTTGCAGCGCTGCCGGCATGTAATTGTCATAAGACATGTAACACCAAATGAAGGTGTTCCACCTCCTCAGAAACACCTCACCGCAAAACGGCCGTATTATCTGTATAAAGTTAGTTATATCCAATCACCTCCTTGATTCTGAATTAGCATTACACAATTTCACAAGTACTACTTCAGTGGAATCATATACTTCTTCAAAGAACCTCTATTTGTTAAAACACCAATCTTATTATGGTTTCCAGGATGTCATGTTAAATTCTTTCTCAAACGAATGGTGATCAGCATCTTCACGATAGGTTTAGATGATATTTGTAATTCCACAAAGATGTGGGAGAATTTTCAGATAAGTATGGAGGAAGGCAGAGATTTGTGGTGGAGTGATCTCTTTGTGAATGTACAATCGTCATCATCATCATTATCGTTGAATGATCGTGAATTAATTGAGGAGATAAGTGCAAAAACTGATATTATGTATCAAGCCAAATGGTTCGTTTCGAAAATGTTACTCGTTCGAATTCAGGACATTTCAGCAGTCAGACTGACTCGGAACGGAGCTGATGTCTCGCTCGAGCTGATGACTCTGTTTTCAGCTCTTTACTCATCTCACAGTTACTAAAGCTTTATGGACTGATCACTACGTAGATGTTGATCTACCATTGGTGTGCAGTCAGTGTCTGCCTCATGAATGAACCATGCAAAAAAGAATGAGACGAAAAAGCGACAGTTCACACAGAGATTGAGAAATACTACAAAATGGAACGCATTTCTTCATGAAGAATGAGATTGAAGTGGAGAAGTCGTTGAAAAGAATGAGAACGAATAGAGAACATTTAAAAAGAATGAGAAATATTAAGCGAGTACATAAAAATGGTGCACTATCGCAGAATATTCGTAAGGTACCCAAAAACTTCGAGATATAAGCCAGGTGATATAAATCAGTTAA